CAAGAGACTTGCTTGAGCCCAGGAGTTGGAGGTTGCTGTGAGCAGTTAAGCCATGGCACTCTACCCAGGGGCTCAGCTTGAGGCTCTGTCTCAAAAGAAAAAAAAAAAAAGTGTCTTCACGCTAGGTACAATGGCTCAGGCCTGCAATCCTCGCACTTTGGGAGGCCAGCCTGGGCAACATAGTGAAACTACATATCTACACAAAAAAATTATTAAAAATGAGTTGGACATGATGGTGTGCACCAATCAAAAGCTACTCAGGGCTCAGCGCCTGTGGCTCAAGTGGCTAAGGTGCCAGCCACATACACCTAAGGTGGTGGGTTCAAATCCAGCCCGGGTCCGCCAAACAACAATGATGTCTGCAACCAAAAAATAGTCAGGCGTTGTGGCGGGCGTCTCTGGTCCCAGCTACTTGGGAGGCTGAGGCAGGAGACTCACTTGAGCCCAGGAGTTGGAGGTTGCTGTGAGCTGTGATGCCAGAGCACTCTACCCAAGGGGACAGCTTAAGGCTCTGTCTCAAAAACAAACAAACAAAAAAAGCTACTCAGGATACTGAGTTAGGAGGACTGTTTGAGCTCAGGAGTTAGAAGTTGCAGTGAGCTATGATAACACCACTGCACTCTTGCCTGGATAACAGGGTAAGATCCTGTCACACACACACAAAAGGTCTCCAGACATGGCTAAAAGTCCCTTGGAGGGCAAAAGCACCCCTAGTTGAGAAGCAAGGTTCTATAACACAAGATGTAGTATCTTTTATTTGTTTGCTTGGTTGGGTTTTTTTGGTTTTTTTGAGACAGAGTCTCACTATTTTGCCCTAGGTGGAATGCTGTGGTGTCACAGCTCACAGCAACCTCCACCTCTTGGGTTTAAACAATTCTCTTGCCTCAGCCTCCCGAGTAGCTGGGACTACAGGCACCCACCACAGCGCCTGGTAATTTTGTTTTGTTTTGTTCTGTTTTTTTGTTTTTGCCGTTTTTGGCTGAGGCTGGGTTTGAACCCACCACCTCCAGCATATGGGGCTGGCGCCCTACTCCTTTGAGCCACAGGTGCCACCCTGGCAATTTTTTTGGTTGCAGTTGTCATTGTTGTTTGGCAGGCCTAGGCTGGATTCAAACCCGCCAGCTCTGGTGTATGTGGCTGGCACCCTAGCCGCTGAACTACAGGTGCCAACCAGTATCTCACTGTTATTCAGCAGATTAGAGTAGCTTTTCTCTGGCTCTATGTCCTATTTGACTTAAGGATAGGGCAAGAGCACATTTACTGAGTGCCTGCTATATGTACACATTGACTATGGGTTAACCCACAGTCATGTAGGAGGCACTAACTATGGGTTATAAGTTATCCCTAACTTATAGTCAACGTCTGCATCTAGCAGGCACTAACCCTTCAGTGACCCTATGAGTTAGAGATTATTAACCCTGCTGGAGTGTAACTGAGAGGAACGAGAGATGAGGCTCAACCTCAGAGGTATTGGGCCTGAAACTTGGCTCCACCACACTGTGGCAGTAGGGAGCAGGTGAGCTCAGGTAAGGGAGCAGTTACCTTCCCCCACGTTGTTGGGGGCAAGGAGGGAAGAGTTGTAAGACAACAGGAATTTTATGGCCAAGTGAGCTGATCTTTTCCCAAGCCCATTTGTACAGAATTTGGTGACTAACTGTGCCACCACAAAGGACCTTAGATTGCTTTGGCCCTATTGTTTCCATGACACATCCTCTTTGCAAGGTGTAGGTGGCATGGTCTTGATCTTCCTGGTTGGGGTGTCCAAGTTTGTAATCCATCACTGAACCCATCACCGGCTAAGGGCCAGTGTGAGGTTTGTTCCAGAAACTTCACCAGGTGCCTACAGAGCGCCAGATAAGTGCAGATGATACATTACATGAATGAGGTGTGTGGCCCTGGCCTTAAGGTGTCTAGTGGGTGTAGGAGAAAACCAGGTGAACATGAAGGAGGTGTAAGCACAGGGAGGAAGTGATTGACAGGAAGCAGATTATTGGCCTTTGGGAGCTGATAAAACCAACAGACACTAAGGAAGCAGTCAAGTGGTAAACTGGAAGGACTGTAGCTGCAGTGGGTCCCTGCAGGGGAGATCAGAGTGGTTCAGGAAAGCTCTAAGGGAGGTGGACATTGGGCGTTAAGGAAAAGATGTGCTTTTGCTCAGCACTTCTGGGTACGTTATTTCATTTATCCTTCTCAACCACTGATGAGCACGTTACTGTTTCATCGTCATTGTGTAGGTGAAAAGACTGGGACTTAGGTTAAATGGCTTGTTTAGGGTTGTGTAGCTAGTAAATAGCAGACCAGACCCTTGAGATCATGTCTGCTATGTTCCTTTCACTGGTCTGCCCTATTGCTGCCCTGGAGGCGGGAGGCCCTGGTGAGAGTAGTTATAGGCAGTGGGTAGTGGGTGAGAGAGACCAAGTGAAGCTCTGATGGTCGATGCTGGTGTGGGCAGTGTGAGTCCCAAGAGTCCCATCCAGGGCAGGCAACTACCAGCAGGAGACGTAGTCAAGAACCATGATAACCCTTAGGACCAGGAAGGATGTAGGTGTGAAGAATCAGAGATGACTTGAGAGGTTTACTAGCCTTCCTCTCAGTGTTCTATGAACAGGTTAATAGATGTAACTTTAAAGCTTGGTGGGGAGAGGAGCGCTGTAATCAAAAGCTTCAGAAATGCATGATTAACCCAGATTAATCAGGTTCTGCTGTTGTAAGCCTTCTCAAAGCCTTTAGTGCCGAGGTACAGTGTGCGTCCCTACAGGGTGCTAGGGCGTGTAATAGACTTTGGGAACATCTGTGTGTTTTGTTGTTTTTTTGAGACAAAGTCCCACTCTTGTCACCCAGCCTAGAATGCTGTGGTGTCACAGCTCACAGCAATCTCAAACTATTGGGCTCAAGCGATCCTCTTGCCTCAGCCTTCCAAGTAGCTGGGACCATAGGCGCCCATCACAATGCCTGGCTAGTCTCATTTCTATTTTTAGTAAAGATGAGGTCTGGCTGTTGCTCAGGCTGATCTCGAGCTCCTGAGCTGAGGCAGTCCATCTGCCTGGGCCTCTCAGAGTGCTGGGATTGCAGACTAGAGCTGTGTATGCTTATTTCTGGGTCCCCTCATTTTAGAGTAAGGCCTTCCAGAAACATGAGGCATTTGGGCAATGTTTGAATAAATAACTGAAAAATGGCTAAAAGGCTGTTCAGAGAGAAAGGTGGAGGATACATCCAGAAACCACCTGTGTTCTTGGCAGTGGTAAGATCCTAATGTACTTCTGCTGTACAAGGCAGGCTGAGGGGTCTCTCTCTCTCCCTGTATAATGTGCTGAGTTAGAGGTGGTGGAGGGCTAGTTGGTAGGAAGGTCCTCTAGGCAGAAGGAGACATGGAACAGAAACACTGGTAAGGGCAGGTTACGAAGGGATTTAAGGATACCTTATACAGACCAAGGATGTGGTTCATTCTCAACTGGAGTCACAACCAGTGGTTCAACCCTGGCTACACTTCAGAATAATCTGGAAAACCTAAAAAAGATGTATCACACGTGGCTCCCACCTCTAGAATTCTAACTTAATTAGGCAATTTTATTTATTTATTTTGAGACAGTCTCAAGCTGTCACACTGGGTAGAGTGCTATGGCATCACAGCTCACAGCAACCTCAAACTCCTGGGCCCAAGCGATTCTTTTGCCTCAGCCTCCCAAGTAGCTGGGACTACAGGCCCCTGCCACAACACACCCAGCTATTTTTTGGCACAGGGCTGGATTCAAACCTGCCAGTCCGGTGTATGTGGCTGGCGCCTTAGCTGCCTAGGCTACAGGCGCTGAGGCTGGACAATTTTTTTAAACATTCCAAATCCCAAGCCTCCCCAAAGCAATCATTCACATTTGGGGAGGGGGACATAAGTATCAGTATTTTCTAAAGTTCCCAGGTGACTCCAATGTGCAGACAAGTTTGGGAACTGCTGAAATAGGCATCTTTTTAAAAACTCCCCTGGTGGTTTTAATGTATGTGCAGGACTGAGAATAACTAGTTTAATGGTTCTCACACATGACTGTGCATCAAAGTCACCTGGAGGCCTTGTTAAAACTCAGATATGGGTCCACCCCCGGAGTCTCTGATTGAATAGGTCTAAGGGTAGAGGGTGACCTGTTTCATGTGGTTCAGGGACAGAACCTGAATTAAGATTTAACACTGGCTGTGTCTTAAGGTGTGTCCCAGGGCTTCTACAGCTGAAGTGTTGACAGTGCGGGGACTAAATAAGCCCTGTTGTACTACCCATTTCTCTGGTATCACTTATGAGGCATCCTCTGCGTTTCAGGCACTGTGCGAGTGGTGGAATGCAACAGACAGGGCCCAGTCCTCGCCTCAGGGCGCTCTCAGGCAGAGAAGAGAGACAAACAAAAACAAGCAAATAAAAAATAATTATAAACCAGAGCTAATAATTGAGTTCAGCCAGGTCTCAGGATACAAGATCAGAAGATCAGCACATAAAAATCAATTGCATTTCTCTAGACTGACAAAGTTACGGAAACTGAAATTAAAAACGATACCATTTACAGTAGCCTCAAAGAAAATGGAATATTTAGGTATAAATCTACCAAAGCATGGGTAGGATCTGTGTGCTGAAAATTAAAAATTGCTGATAAGATGACTTCAATAAATGGAGAGACATATTTATGGATTGAGAGACTCGACACAGTAAAGGTGGCAGTTCTCCCCAAATTGACCTGTAGCTTTAATATAGTTTCTGTCAAAATCCCAGCAAGGCATTTTTTGTAGACATAGGTAGGCTTATTCTAATAATTATACAGAAAGGCCAGTTTGGGTGGTGCCTATGGCTCAGTGAGTAGGGTGCCAGCCCCATATACCGAGGGTGGCAGATTCAAACCCAGCCCCTGCCAAACTGCAACAAAAAATAGCAAGCATTGTGGCAGGTGCCTGTAGTCCCAGCTACTCAGGAGGCTGAGGCAAGAGAATCACCTAAGCCCAGGAGTTGGAGGTTGCTGTGAGCTGTGACACCACAGCACTCTACCAAGGGCGATAAAGTGAAACTCTGTCTCTGAAAAAAAAAAAAAAAAAAAAACAGGGAAAGCCAGTTTTACCTAGACTTGCTAAAACAATTTTGAAAAAGAAAGATAAATCTGGAAGAGTTACTCTACCCAATTAAGACTTGCTATATAGGGCCAGGCACGGTGACTCATGCCTATGATCCTAGCACTCTGGGGAGGCTGAGGCAGGTAGATTGCTTGAGCTCATGAGTTCTAGACCAACCGGCGTAAGTGCAAGACCCCTGTCTATACTAAAAATAGAAAACCTAGCCAGATATGGCTAGTCCTATCTACAGTCCCAGCTACTCAAGAGGCTGAGGCAAGAGGATCATTTGATCCCAAGGGTTTGAGGTTGCTGTGAGCTATGATGATGCCATGGCACTCTACATAGGGTGACAGAATGAGACTCTGTCTCCAAAAAGAAAAGACTAATCCTAGCACTCTGGGAGGTGGAGGCTGGTGGATTGCTTGAGCTCAGGAGTCTGAGACCAGCCTGAGCAAAAACCGAGAGCCCCCTCTCTACTAAAAATAGAAAAACTGAGGCAAGAGGATTGCTTGAGCCCAAGAGTTGGAGGTTGCTGTGAGCTATGACACCACAGCACTCTACCCAGGGCAATAGCTTCAGACTCTGTCTTTAAAAAAAGGCAAAAAGAAAAAAAGACTGGTGGGGAAAAAAAAAAAAAAAGACAAGTGTGGTATTGGCCACTGGAGAGAGATGTTAAGCAGAATAGAGAACCCAGAAATAGACTCCCCCAAGTATGCACAACTGATTTTTCTTTTTTTTGAGACAGGATCTCACTATGTCACACTCGGTAGAGTGCTATAGCATCACAGCTCACAGCAACCTCAAACTCTTGGGCTTAAGCAATACTCATGCCTCAACCTCCCAAGTAGCTGGGACTACAAGCACCTGCCACAATGCCCAGCAATTTTGTTGTTGTTGTTGTTGTTGTTGTTGTCATTGTTGTTTGGCAGGTTCAGGCTGGGTTTGAACCCACCAGCCCCAATGTATGTGGCTGGTGCCCTAACTGCTAAACTATAGTCATGGAGCCCACAACTGATTTTTGACAAGAAGTACAAAAGCAGTGAAATGGAAGAAAGATAGCCTTTGGAACAAATGGTGCTGGAGCTATTAGATATCATAGGCCAAAAAATAAAAAACACCTCCACACCTTATACCGAAATTAACTGAAAATGGATCATGGGCTTAAATGTAAAACATAAAAGTATCAAGCTTTTAGAACAAGATGGAGGAGAAAATTTTACCAACTAGGGCTTGACAAAGAGTTCTTAGATTTGACACCAAAAGTAGGATCCATTAAAATTTTGATTAATCAGGCCTAATCAGACTTACGAATTTTGTTCTGCAAAAGAGAATGAAAAGACAAGTACAGCATGGGGACAATGTTTGCAAGCCACACATTCAACAAGAACTTGTATCTATTGTAGAATATATAAAGAATTCTTAAAACTAAATGGTTAAAGAAAAACAAACAACTCAACTAGCAAATAGGCAAAAGACATAAACAGGCATTTCACTAGAGAGCACGTATGGGTGGTAAGTAAGCACGTAAAAATGCTCAATAGTGGCTCAGCGCCTGTGGCTCAAGTGGCTAAGGTGCAAGCCACATACACCTGAGCTGGCAGGTTCGAATCCAGCCTGGGCCTGCCAAATGACAATGATGGCTGCAACCAAAAAATAGCCGGCATTTGTGGCAGGCGCCTGTAATCCCAGCTACTTGGGAGG